AACACTTTTCTGTGTAGTAGTTTAGTACGAGTCTTGTGTGGTCAATACGCCTCCGTGCAAGAACCTTTGTTAAAATACCATAGAGATTAAACATCCCGTGGCTTGGTTGGTAGCGCGCTCGACACACTTACCAAGTTACCGTCGTTCGATTCCCGGCAGGGTAGAAATGTTGGGAATATTTCCTTACACCTGCTGCTCCTATTCACCTAACAGTACGTAGGTACCTGGGTGTTAGTCGACAGTTGCGGGTGACCCCCCAAAAAAAAAGTCGACCAAAAACCCAACTGTGGTTAGATCGGAAACAGCACTTTGTCCTCTAAGTTGGACCAACGTAGATTCCATCGATTCTTAATCCTCTTAGATAAAACTGAAAATGCGTCTGAATTTTGCAAATATCCTGAGATAAACAAGTTCTGGAATGTAGAATGTACAAAAAGTCTGTACGTTTAATACCTTAGAAACCAGAATGATAAACGTCCCAGCAAATGATATCGTTATGATGAATCAGAAACCTGTGCAACAACTGGACATCTTTATTCTGTAGACATTTAACCAACCAGTGATTTATCAGTACAATACAGAAGACTGAAAGGGTAGAAAATGAGGAAATCAGTCCCTCAGGGGTTCAGATCATTGAGGGACTGATTGTCTCATGTTCTACTTCGTCCGTCTTCTGTATTGCGCTGACAAAGCCACTGTTGGCGAAACGTCTACAGAATAAAGATACATAGATGTTGCACATGTGTTTAATTCTTCATCTTGTCGGTATTATATACCACTGGAGAGGCTACACAACCGGTATTGAATACAAAGGATAATGGGGTCTTAAGATTCACAGAAGTGAAGAGCTTGGGTTGCATTTTAATAGTCAGAGACTACAACAATGGTTGAAGTAGGAATTAAAAGCTATATGGATAATGACTGTAAGAAGTGCATCTAACTCTGTCGTGGGGGGAAAAAAACTAGTCGAATTTAATAAACGTTCCTGTTCATACTTTGAAAAGGATCAAGAAAAAGGAAGAGCCTAGCCTTAGCAGTGATACAATACACTGGAAAGGGAAAGACAGAGGATATACTCGAATCATTGGTACCTCCCAAGGAGGACTGCATAAAGAATAAACACAGCGAACAAAATAGAAGGGAAAAAAAGGGATAAAAGCAGTAAACCGAGTCTGAATGGGAAGAATAAAAGGACAGAATAAAGAAAGAAGACGATTGAAGGTATCTGTTATATTAAAGTCTGTGAATTTGCTCTAAGTCACAGGGTTATGAAGATCATGATAACAAACTATACAGTGAGAATTTCAATGAGGACAAGCGAAAGACACCAAGACATACATGAAAGAAAACAACATGCTTGGAGAGGAGACCAGTTGAAGTACATGAATGTACATCAACTCCATAATCAAAAAGAACCAAGGCTGTAAAAAGTGCGAAGAACAACACGCCTGTAAGTTCCTCAAGTCTGCAAGGACAAGGAGTTAGCAGAACTCTCACATGCAGTTATCCAGACATCCTACTATCAACCTGGAGGCCAAAATGTTTCAACAGCTTGATGGACAAGGATTGCGAACTATACAACCAGAGAGTAAATCAGGGAATAACAGACCAGTGAATAAATACACAAGAGTTTGTTTTTCATACGGAGAAGTTGAAGCCACGTGATTTAACACAGAGCCAATTAGGAGCGAAATAGACTGTACCAGCACAAGCGGTAACAACTTGAACCAGCACAAGCAGTAACAACTTGTGTCAGCACAAGTAGTAACAACTTGTACCAGCACAAGCAGTAACAACTTGTACCAGCACAAGCAGTAACAACTTCTACCAGCACAAGCAGTAACAACTTGTACCAGCTCAAGCAGTAACAACTGGTACCAGCACAAACAGTAACAACTTGTACCAGCTCAAACAGTAACAACTTGTACCAGCTCAAGCAGTAACAACTGGTACCAGCACAAACAGTAACAACTTGTACCAGCACAGACAGTAACAACTTGTACCAGCACAAGCAATAACAACTTGTGTCAGCACAAGTAGACACAACTTGTGTCAGCACAAGTAGTAACAACTTGTACCAGCACAAGCAGTAACAACTTGTACCAGCACAAGCAGTAACAACTTGAACCAGCACAAGCAGTAACAACTTGTGTCAGCACAAGTAGACACAACTTGTGTCAGCACAAGTAGACACAACTTGTGTCAGCACAAGTAGTAACAACTTGTACCAGCACAAGCAGTAACAACTTGTACCAACACAAGCAATAACAACTTGAACCAGCACAAGCAGTAACAACTTGTGTCAGCACAAGTAGTAACAACTTGTACCAGCACAAGTAGTAACAACTTGTACCAGCACAAGTAGTAACAACTTGTACCAGCACAAGCAGTAACAACTTGAACCAGCACAAGTAGTAACAACTTGTGTCAGCACAAGTAGTAACAACTTGTACCAGCACAAGCAGTAACAACTTGTACCAGCACAAGCAGTAACAACTTGTACCAGCACAAGTAGTAACAACTTGTACCAGCACAAGCAGTAACAACTTGTGTCAGCAAAAGTAGTAACAACTTGTACCAGCACAAGCAGTAACAACTTGTACCAGCAAAAGTAGTAACAACTTGTACCAGCACAAGCAGTAACAACTTGTACCAGCACAAGTAGTAACAACTTGTACCAGCACAAGTAGTAACAACTTGTACCAGCACAGACAGAAACAACTTGTACCAGCACAAGCAGTAACAACTTGTACCAGCACAAGCAGTAACAACTTGTACCAGTACAAGCAGTAACAACTTGTACCAGCACAAACAGTGACAACTTGTACCAGAACAAGCAGTAACAACTTGTGCCAGCACAATCAGTAGCAACTTGTACCAGCACAAACAGTAACAACTTGTACCAGCACAAGCAGTAACAACTTGTACCAGCACAAGCAGTAACAACTTGTACCAGCAAAAGCAGTAACAACTTGTGCCAGCACAATCAGTAACAACTTGTACCAGCACAAGTAGCAACATCTTGTACCAGAACAAGCAGTAACAACTTGTACCATAACAAGCAGTAACAACTTGTACCAGAACAAGCAGTAACAACTTGTATCAGCACAAGTTGTAACAATTTGTACCAGAACATGTAGTAACAACTTATATCGCCATAGGTAGTAACAACTTGTAGCAGCACAAAAAATAACAATTTGTTCCAGAAGAAGCAGTAACAACTTGTATCAGCATAAGAAGTAACAACTTGTACCAGCACAAATAGTAACAACTTGTACCAGCGCTAGCAGTAATAACTTGTAGAGCACAAGTAGTAACAACTTGTACCAGCACAAGCAGTAACAACTTGTACCAGCACAAGCAGTAACAGCTTGTACCAGCACAAGTAGTAACAACTTGTACCAGCACAAACAGTAACAACTTGTACCAGCGCAAGCAGTAACAACTTGTACCAGCACAAGTAGTAACAACTTGTACCAGCACAAACAGTAACAACTTGTACCAGCACAAGCAGTAACAACTTGCACCAGTACAAGTAGTAACAACTTGTACCAGCAAAAGCAGTAACAACTTGTACCAGCACAAACAGTAACAACTTGTACCAGCACAAACAGTAACAGCTTGTACCAGCACAAGCAGTAACAACTTGTTCCAGCACAAACAGTAACAACTTGTACCAGCACAAGCATTAACAACTTGTACCAGCACAAACAGTAACAACTTGTACCAGCACAAACAGTAACAACTTATACCAGAACAAACAATAACAACTTGTACCAGCACAAACAGTAACAACTTGTACCAGCACAAGCAGTAAAACTTGTACCAGCACAAGCAGTAACAACTTGTTCCAGCACAAGCATTAACAACTTGTACCAGCACAAACAGTAACAACTTGTACAAGCACAAGCAGTAAAAACTTGTACCAGCACAAACAGTAACAACTTGTACCAGCACAAACAGTAACAACTTTTACCAGCACAAGCAGTAAAACTTGTACCAGCACAAAGAGTAACAACTTGTACCAGCACAAACAGTAACAACTTATACCAGCACAAACAGTAACAACTTATACCAGCAGAAGCAGTAACAACTTGTACCAACACAAACAGTAACAACTTGTACCAGCACAAACAGTAACAACTTGTACCAGCACAAGCAGTAACAACTTATATCAGCAGAAGCAGTAACAACTTGTACCAGCAGAAGCAGTAACAAAATCATCCACATTTGAAGATAACCAAATTTCCCGGAGAAGTGCTGAAGCTACATCGTTAACAGTTATCAGAGAAAATACTCATAGCTCACCCTTGTGGAACACCTTTAGCTTGAGCAATCTGTAGAAAAGATGTTTAATCCGAACACAAAGTTCTTTCTTACAAACCTTGAGAAAAAGCTGGACTAGCATCTCAGGCCAGAAACAAAGATCTGAGACATAATGGCATATCGCCATGTCGTATCGTAAGCCTTTTATAGCTGAGAAAGACTTGCACTACAAGCCGACCTTCGGGAAAGCCGTGGTGAATTCGCGTATTGTGCCGAATTAGAGTTAAGACTATAAGTGAACTAAAAGAAGATCCATATAAACCACATAATCCAATACGAGAGGATACATGATACCTACATATATTTATAAGGATACATTATCACCATATACAATAAAACACTGCGAAAGAACTGAAGGGGAAGATTTCAAAATAATATGAACAGGTGGACAAAGAGGACATTGTGCCGAAACAAGCTCTTGGCAAACAATAGAAAGAGTGGTAGAACAGTTGTAGAAGAGTGGAATGAGTTACATAAACAAGTAACAAATGCTACAAATCACAGACTTAGATTTTCTACTGTAGTTTCTGAAAGGTAAAAAAGTATTCACAGACAAAATTATATGCATTAATATTGAGGTTATATTGTATAAATATTATTATTATATATCTGGTTATAGCTATTTTTTGTAATCTTAGAATTTAACCACCATGGGTATATGTCTCTTATTCTAGAAACAACAGTTATTAATTCACAACAACTGGTCATGAGGATCTCTGGCAGTAACTTACACGCTCTTCGCTGCCTGGGCAGAAGCTCCGCCACTGATGTATTGGCTGTTATACCGCTCCCCACAGGTGAGTCTGGCACTTCATACTACCTGACCTCCAGAAATAACTTACCTACACTCACACTGGACCCTGAGTCAACACCGCTTCACCCACCCACACATTCGACTACACACTTGACTGTGTCAACACACATGACTATATTAAGGCTACTTCACCCATCCTCACTCTTGACTATGTCAAGACTACTTCACCCACCCTCACTCTTGACTATGTCAAGACTACTTCACCCATCCTCACTCTTGACTATGTCAAGACTACCTCACTCACTCTCACTCTTGATTATGTCAAGACTACTTCACCCACCCTCACTCTTGATTATGTCAAGACTACTTCACCCACCCTCACTCTTGATTATGTCAAGACTACTTCACCCACCCTCACTCTTAATTATGTCAAGACTACTTCACCCACCCTCACTCTTGACTATGTCAAGACTACTTCACCCATCCTCACTCTTGACTATGTCAAGACTACTTCACCCACCCTCACTCTTGATTATGTCAAGACTACTTCACCCACCCTCACTCTTGATTATGTCAAGACTACTTCACCCACCCTCACTCTTGATTATGTCAAGACTACTTCACCCACCCTCACTCTTGACTATGTCAAGACTACTTCACCCACCCTCACTTTTGACAATGTCAAGACTACCTCACCCACCCACACTTTTGACTGTGTCAAGACTACCTCACTCACTCTCACACTTGACTGTGTCAAGACTACCTCACCCACCCTCATTATTGACTGTGTCAAGACTACCTCACCCACCCTCATGCATAACTGTGTCAAGACTACCTCGCCCACTCTCACTCTTGACTGCGTCAAGACTACGTTACTCACCCTCACTTTTGACTGTGCCAAGTCTACCTCACACACCCTCACACTTGCCTGTGTATCACTAATTCCTCACACACCCTCACACTTGACTGTGTATCACTAATTCCTCACACACCCTCACACTTGCCTGTGTAACAGTAATAACTCACACACCCTCACACTTGCCTGTGTATCAGTAATACCTCACACACCCTCACACTTGTCTGTGTATCACTAATTCCTCACACACCCTCACACTTGTCTGTGTATCACTAATTCCTCACATACCCTCACACTTGCCTGTGTAACAGTAATAACTCACACACCCTCACACTTGTCTGTGTATCAGTAATACCTCACACACCCTCACACTCGTCTGTGTATTACTAATTTCTCACACACCCTCACACTTGTCTGTGTATCACTAATTCCTCACACACCCTCACACTTGCCTGTATATCACTAATTACTCACACACCCTCACACTTGACCGTGTATCACTAATTCCTCACACACCCTCACACTTGCGTGTGTAACAGTAATAACTCACACACCCTCACACTTACCTGTGTATCAATAATACCTCACACACCCTCACACTTGCCTGTGTAACAGTAATACCTCACACACCCTCACACTTGTCTGTGTATCACTAATTCCTCACACACCCTCACACTTGCCTGTGTAACAGTAATACCTCACACACCCTCACACTTGTCTGTGTATCACTAATTCCTCACTCACCCTCACACTTGCCTGTGTAACAGTAATAACTCACACACCCTCACACTTGCCTGTGTAACAGTAATACCTCACACACCCTCACACTTGCCTGTGTAACAGTAATACCTCACACACCCTCACACTTGCCTGTGTAACAGTAATACCTCACACACCCTCACACTTGCCTGGAGAAGTTTAGTTCCATAGTCAGGAACTATCTGAAGATCAAGCGACAGTGCGGAGACTTAAGAAGCCTACTGTGTAGGCGAAACGTTTCGGAATAAAGTTGTCTAACTGTTGCATATGTGTCTTACCTAACAACCTGTCGGTATTGTATACCATTTTGATGTTCATCTTGTCAGACACTGCAACACATGGCATCTTGGTACAGAAAACACCTTGGACAAGCTTTTCAAGTGAGAAGTGTTGGATCTGAGAGGGACACGACCTCTCAGTGGCTCCATTCTCATTACTACTACTACTACTACTACTACTACCCTGCACCTCTCCTTCCGACAGTATTTAAGTCTCCGCACTGTCGCTTGATCTTCAGATAGTTCCTGACTATGGAACTAAACTTCTCCAGGCCGAGGGACTGACAACCTCAAATTCTACGACTACAAGGGTGATGGACTGATTACATCGTCTTCACTTCTCTACTGTTCCTGCCTACTTTCTGTATTCGACTGAAGAAGCCTACTGTGTAGGCGAAACGTTTCGGAATAAAGTTGTCTAACTGTTGCATATGTGTCTTACCTAACAACCTGTCGGTATTGTATACCATTTTACGTGACTTAATTTGGTTATCCTACGTTAAATCATATTACTTTGTTAGATGCTGGTTAGTTATTATAACAGCTGGTCAGGTCTTACTATAATATCTGCTAAATCTCATTATAGTGCCAAGTTAAGTATCATTAAAAGATTTAGTTAAATCACCTTATAACACTTGGTTAATATCACTCTCTCATCTAATTTACTTTCATTACAACATCTGGTTAAGTCTCATTATAGCATTTCATTAAGTCTCATTATAGCATTTGATTAAGGCTCATTATAACCTTTATCAAGTTTCATTATAATACCTGGTTATATCTCACTATGAAACCCGGTTATGTCTCATTATAACACCCTAGATCTTGTTATAACACCTAGTTAAGCCTCTCTATAACACCTGGTTAAAGCACGTTATAACACTATGTGATGGCAATATAAACACAAATGCAGTATAATGTGATCCTTTATTGACTACGTTTCGCCCACACAGTGGGCTTTTTCAAGTCACAAACAGAACTACCTGGGGTGGAAGGAACGCGAGTATTTATAGTCCGGCTGAGGTCAGGTGAAGAAATGCTGCATCTGATGATGTACCGAGTGGGGTTATAGAGTCTAAAAACAATAAAGGATCACATTATACTGCATTTGTGTTTATATTGCCATTGTGTCGGTATTTTATACCATTTATTTCCAACACTATGTGATAATTATAAAAATGGTACAGAATACTGATAAGTAGATAATAAATACATGTGCTGACGTTGGTCATCTTTATTACCGAAACAAATCGCCTTCACAGCAGGCTTCTTCAGTCCAGTATAGAGGTGACTAAATATGGAGAAAGTGGAAGTAGTGGCGAGGTAAAGATATAATCAGTCCATCAACCTTGTAGTAGTATGTTAAGTAAAAGGACGAGTGGAACTGCGACAATTTATTGTGGCAACGTTTCTCTCACCAGGAGCTTTGTCAAGCTGTTATAAAAAATAATGGGATACATAGGGGTATATATAGGTATAGAGTGAAGTACAAAGCATAGTGTAACCGTAGTAGGTAGCAGCAGTAGTAGTGCTTGTGATGGTGGTGGTGGTAGTAGTAGTAGTAGTAGTAGTAGTAGTACTGGTGGTAGCAGCTATGTGATGCCGGAGTTTATTGCACTGAGGAGAATTCTTGCTGATACTTCCGAGATGATGAAGCTGCCTTTATTGTTTGTGTGAGATATAGCGATTAATGATAATTCAAGGCAATTTCGTTTAAGGAAATTGGGTTCTTTAATGACTAGTCGGGCGTTGTTCAATTTCATCAGGTGGTTGGCGTTGCTCAAGTTATCGATGCTACATGTATCGTGTTCATAGAGACGTGTTTCGAGGTTTCCTGCTTTTTCACCTGCGTATATTGTCACAGCCTCCACAGGGGATAGTATAAACCCCTGCGTTGATTGATTCAAAGTTCTTCAATTTCGTCCTAGTCAGATCTTTTATGAAAGTACTAATTGCGATGACGACTCTAGTGTTAGCTTGCGTGAGTACTGTAGAGACGTTTAATGCAGCCTGGCTGTATGGAAGGAATATGAGTTTGCTAGGAGTGGTGTCTGTGTGTGTGGAGAACTGATACCCTAAAGAGCTCTTTTCTTGCAGTCTTTGATGAAAAATGAAGGAAAATATAGTTCAGTGAAGGGTTGGCGTATATATGTACACTCCTCGTCAAGAAATTCTGGTCTGCAAATTCGGTACGCACCGTACACTTAGAAAAAACTCGATGATGATGCCTCTTTTGGTCTTATCTTGACTGGAATAAAAGTGTCAGAATTTTTTTTGTAGGCTTCCCTGAAACTTGAAACCTTAGATTGTTATCTACTTTGTGAATGAGGACGTCTAGAAAAGATAACTTGTCATTGAACTCTTCTTCATGTGTAAACTGGATAGCCAGATCTTCTGTGTTGAATCTTCCCTGAGGATTCTGCACATCAAAACGTTTGGGAGTTATTATGAGGACGTCGTCCACGTAATGTAAACATGTGACGTTGGTGGGGATGACGTTGGCGAAGTTAAGACGGCACTGGTGGGAGACCCCGTTCTCTGTTATTGAAAGAAAAGCAGTTGAAGTTAATGCAGAGTTTAATCAGGTCAACGAAATCTCCAGGAGGTAGAGGAAGATTAAGATTCTTATTGAGTTTACGTCGGAGAACGTTAATGGCTTGTGTGGTAGGTTCCTTGGTGAAAAGGAAAGTTACTTACAAACTACTTAGTTTCTTGTTTCGTATGGAGAGGTCTCTAATGCGGTTGAGAAGGTCGCCTGAATGATTTAGATGGGCGGGGCTGATGGTCCCCGGAAGGGTAGAAAGACGTTTTCAAGAACTTCGGCTAATATGTGTGACGCACTAACTATTCCTGGTGTGACAGGTATCAGAGGAATATTGTGTTTATGGGTTTTAAGCAGCCAGTACATTTTTGATGGTTTAGGATTGCCGGGTATCAAGTGCAGAAGTTTCTTCCCTTCACTGGTGAGTGTCTCCTACTGTTATGTACTGATAGGCTCGTATGTAGACTGGTCATTCAGAAGGCCCATCATTTTGGTGTTGTAGTCACTGACGTTGAGTAAGACGACTCCACCTCCTTTGTCGGCTGTGGTGACAATAATATTTTGATTGTTAGCGAGGTCATTAAGGGCAGTTATATACCGTCTAGGAAGAATGGTAGAAGAAGGTACACTTACGGCTGCGGTTAGAATGTTCTATATATAACCTTTCTGGAAGTTACTCTACTACTACTACTACTACTTCTACTACTACTACTATTATCACTACTACTACTACTACTACTACTACTACTACTACTACTACTACTACTACTACTACTACTACTAATAATAATAATAATAATAATAATAATAATATTAATAATAATACCTCCCACTTTTATATTATGCTTTGCGCGTCACTCTATAGTTACATATACCCTCTAAGTTTCTGTATTGTGTGTTGATGCGGCCAAGGCAGCCACATATGCGGAGATTAGCGTTCCCATCAGCCTATGCCAGACCAAGCTAGTGGCCACCAGAGCTTTGAAACTTATAGGGAAGGTCCTAGGTGATTCCCCATCTCAACATTGGTACCGAGCAGCGACTCAGGAAGAACTCCCTCCATATAATACAAAGTGGTCCAGAGCGCAGTGCACCGCCGTCCATCGGCTTCGTTTGGGCAAATAAACATGTTCTGGTGTTGCTATTTTTACTTTTTTCTCGAACCATTCCTCATTTACAGCTGATTTTCACTCGCGGACACCGACAGTGAGGTTCAGCAAGGGCACAGAGGTAACTATCCCGCTAGCCAAGAGGTATCTCACACTGCCAGATAAAGTGTATGTTAGGAGACTGCCAGATGGTTGGCCGAGCTACCCTGATCACCAGCTGCCACTGAACCTTGGGCAAGCCAAACTCCACTACACTGGCGTCCACATTGTTCACCCTGATAAAAAAAACAGAGAGACAAATGGAGCTTACTTTGATGTTATGATTACTGGTAAGTGGAAGTAATTATCTGATGTTTGATGTCGTGCAGATAAATGTTTTTCCTTTATCGAGAAGTTAGGATAAGTGGTAAAGTGGGGAGGGAGGGTGATAATGAGGGTAAGTTTTAATGGTAGTTAGGAACGCAGGTGGTAGCGGTGATGAAGGATGCAGGGTGTGAAAAAGATATCTGATATATATAAGAGGAGATTAACGTATGTCCTGAACTGAACACAAACGAGAAGGTAAGAGGGGAACGAGAAAGTTGTTATGCCTTTCTCTCCCAGTTCCTTCTAGAAGAGAGAAGTGACGGCGCTTGGAAACAAACAAGGCCTCCCTTCCCTCACTCTCTTGGGGAAATGATTCACTCTGGAAACATTGCCGAGTATCCACAGGTGACGTACATTGTCATATAAGGATTGGTACAGGCAAAATTAGTAATTCTTAAGCTAAACTAATTAAAATTATTGTATGTTAGAATTAAGGACATGTCATTAATTGTTCGCCTTAGAAGAAACGTAAAAACTGGTACTTGGAGTCAAGATAATGACGGGCTCTTCTTATGGTCCAGAGGCTCAAATTAAAAACTTTCTGGGCAGCTGACATTATATACACCACACAGGCAAACATTAAGAAATTCTTACTTCTTTTTTTACATTTAATTCATTCGAGTTTGAGACCTTCACACACACACACACACACACACACACACACACACACACACACACACACACACACACACACACACACACACACACACACACACACACACACACACACACGCACACACACACACACAGGAATAAAACTGGGGAGGGGGTAAAAAGTGCAGAAAATTCCTCAGCACTCCACAGACACTTCTTGCCCCTTAACTCCTGAAATGAAATAAGAAAACAAGATGTCTAGAAATTATACTCGATAAAAGTTTATGAGTTTGATACTCAACTGTAGATGAATCGCCAACAGTTATGAAAGAGATAGGGAAGAAAACCCTGATGTAGTAGCTATTAGAGAGACGAAACTCAAATATTAATAACAAATGAAATATTCCAAGAGGGCTTGTAGATAGCAGGAAAGAGTGAGGTTAAGAAAACAAGAGGAAAAGTGACATTGATGGTTAAAAGCCAATGGAGATTTGAGGAACGAAAAAACTTGGTAATAAAAAAAAATGAGATTTTTTTGGATTATACAGCAGGTACTCCAATATAAGGAAAGACTAAAGTAAAAATGACAGTTATTTGTAAACTTTTAATCATAATCCTCCAAACTGCATGATTTTTGAATAACAGGACACTAATTTACATATTAGAAATAATGATTGAGAAAGCAAGAAAAACGCTAAGCAAATATCTAACTACCAGGAGATTTGTACTGTAGGAAAAGTAGGTGGAATATCTGGGACACGTTTAAAAGACTAGAAACATGGAGAGCAAAACTTATGGAAACAAAAATAAAGATTTTTCTGAGCCAATATGTGAAGGAAACAACAAAATTGAGATTAGGTGATGAGACAGTGACATTGGACCTGTCTTGCACGCAAAGTGAATATAAGATAAGATAAGATAAGATTTTGTTCGGATTTTTAACCCCGGAGGGTTAGCCACCCAGGATAACCCAAGAAAGTCAGGGCGTCATCGAGGACTGTCTAACTTATTTCCATTGGGGTCCTTAATCTTGTCCCCCAGGATGCGACCCACACCAGTCGACTAACACCCAGTACCTATTTGCTGCTAGGTGAACAGGACAATAGGTGTAAGGAAACGTGTCGGAATTTCCACCCGCCGGGAATCGAACCCGGGCCCTCCGTGTGTGAAGCGGGAGCTTTAGCCACCAGAACACAAATTTATTATGGAGTACTAACAGGAGCCATCTTTGAGTACGTTGTGGAAAGGTGAATGAAAAGGTGAATGAAAAAGGAAGAACGTGCATAACAGAAAATGATACTATTAAAGAGAGGTCTATGATAGTATGAGAAATCTTCCGAAGGAAGAACCATGAAGGAAATGATGGAGGTAAGTGAGAAAGTGCCAACAGGCAAAGGGAAGATTCATACCGAGGAAGAAGAAAACAAGCACCGTAGTGCTCTTCACCATCTCTAAGGCTGAGGGACTGATTGCCTCATCTTTTGTATATAGTAATACTGTCTTCCAATGATGTCCTTGAATTGATATTGATAAAGCCACTGGATGGCGAAACGTCTACCGTAGAGATACCCAGATGTTGTACATTTGTCTAATTTTGATCAAAATAAGGAGAGACCATGGTTTAATGAAAAATGCAAACACGCTAACGAAATGAACAACAGGGATTGAAAAAAAAATCAGTCTAGAGCAAATGAAAATGCAGCAAACCGAGAAAACAGAAGAGCTGTCATTTTCAAGCTTCAGAATGAAAATGATATGTCATCTAAGATCAAAACTAAATCAAAGTCACTCAACACACACTAAAACAGACGAATGTTTATAATCAGGTGATAAGGCTTGAAGAAGGAGTATGGGACGATAATGGAGAATGACAGACAAGTATGCGAGATGTTAAGCAAATGATTCATAGAGGTATTTACAGAAGGACACTTCAGTTAGAGCACATCACTAGATGCTGGAGAGTATCAACACAACGAAAGTAGTGATGAACAGAAGAACACTTCAGTTAGAGCACATCACTAGATGCTGGAGAGTATCAACACAACGAAAGTAGTGATGAACAGAAGAACACTTCAGTTAGAACACATCACTAGATGCTGGAGAGTATCAACACAACGAAAGTAGTGATGAACAGAAGAACACTTCAGTTAGAGCACATCACTAGATGCTGGAGAGTATCAACACAACGAAAGTAGTGTTGAACAGAAGAACACTTCAGTTAGAGCACATCACTAGATGCTGGAGAGTATCAACACAACGAAAGTAGTGATGAACAGAAGAACACTTCAGTTAGAACACATCACTAGATGCTGGAGAGTATCAACACAACGAAAGTAGTGATGAACAGAAGAACACTTCAGTTAGAGCACATCACTAGATGCTGGAGAGTATCAACACAACGAAAGTAGTGTTGAACAGAAGAACACTTCAGTTAGAGCACATCACTAGATGCTGGAGAGTATCAACACAACGAAAGTAGTGATGAACAGAAGAACACTTCAGTTAGAGCACATCACTAGATGCTGGAGAGTATCAACACAACGAAAGTAGTGTTGAACAGAAGAACACTTCAGTTAGAGCACATCACTAGATGCTGGAGAGTATCAACACAACGAAAGTAGTGTTGAACCTACTACATGAGCGCTCAGAGAAAGGGCAGAATAACAATGTGACCCAATAGCAAGAACATTTAACTAATTAATCAATGTGACCCTCATTTATATAAAAAAAAAAAACTTCTTTCTTTCAGAATATATTTAATCAGATTAAAAAATTATATCTGTGAATAACTAAAGTGAATGAACACTTGTAATGCTCAATAACAATCCACATGGAGGTATACTAAGGGGATTAGTTTATCCGTATACAGTGGACCCCCGCATAACGATTACCTCCGAATGCGACCAATTATGTAAGTGTATTTATGTAAGTGCGTTTGTACGTGTATGTTTGGGGGGTCTGAAATGGACTAATCTACTTCACAATATTCCTTATGGGAACAAATTCGGTCAGTACTGGCACCTGAACATACTTCTGGAGTGAAAAAATATCGTTAACCGGGGGTCCACTGTATTTTGATTCCCTTCTGGGATCCTCTTCAGTAACTTCAGAAGAGGATCCCAGAAGGGGGTTGAAATATACAGATGACTTAAAGCTTCTTAGTTTCTGTCTCCATATGGGTAATTATTGAGCGTAAACAGCGGTTTCTAATATAATTAAATTTTACATTTTCTATCATGTATGTGAATTACAGAGTGTGAAAAAGGAAAGTACGGTGTTGAATGTTCAGAAGAATGTCCCAAGTGCCTACACGGAGGGCAGTGCCACCCTCAGACTGGCACCTGTGTCTGTCCTCCTGGTTTTATAGGTGACAAGTGTCAGTACGGTGAGTTGTATTATTGCTTTCATTAATCTCCTTCACCTCAGCGCTTATCGTCGGGAGATCTGGATTAATATAATATTCACGCACTTTGGAAATAAATATTTCATATACAACTATGGTCTTGCTAAGTAGATTCTGCTATAATTTGGCTAAGTAGAAGCAGCTTCGATCCCATTAACTAGATGCAGCTATGACCCTGCTAAGTAGAAGCAGCTATGACCCTGCTAAGTAGAAGCAGCTATGACCCTGCTAAGTAGATGCAGCTATGACTCTGCTAAGTAGATGCAGCTATGACCCTGCTAAGTAGAAGCAGCTATGACCCTGCTAAGTAGATGCAGCTATGACTCTGCTAAGTAGATGCAGCTATGACCCTGCTAAGTAGAAGCAGCTATGACCCTGCTAAGTAGATGCAGCTATGACCCTGCTAAGTAGATGCAGCTATGACCCTGCTAAGTAGATGCAGCTATGACCCTGCTAAGTAGATACAGCTATGACCCTGCTAAGTAGATGCAGCTATGACCCTGCTAAGTAGATGCAGCTATGACCCTGCTAAGTAGATGCAGTATGCCCTGCTAAGTAGATGTTCCTGACTCTGCTAAGAATGTGTCCATGACCCTGCTAAAGGGAGATGCAGCTAGACCCCCCTAAGCAGAAGCAGTATGACCCCGCTAAGTAGATGTATCCATGACTCTGCTAAGTGAGTGTCCATGACCCCGCTAAGTAACAGCTATGACCCTGCTAAGTAGAGCGCATGACCCTGCAAGTAGATGCACTATGACCCTGCTAAATAAATGCAGCATAACCCGCTAAGTAAGCGCATAACCCCGCTAAGTAGATGCAGCAAAACCTGCTAATAATGAAAGCTATGACCCCGCTAAGTAATTTCGCTAGACCCCGCTAAGTAAAAGCAGCTATAACCCTGCTAAGTAGATGCGCTATGACCCTGCTAAGTAGTACAGCTATGATTCTGCTAATAGATGAGCAAAAACCCCCTGCAAAGTAGATACAGCATGACTCTGCAAGTGATCAGCTAAAACCCCTGCTAAGTAGATGCAGCTATGCCCCTGCTAAGTAATACAGCATGACTTTGCTAAGTAGATGCAGCTATAACCCTGCTAAGTAGATACAGCTAGACTCTGCTAAGTAAATGCGCTATAACCTGCCTAAGTAATGCAGCTATGACCCTGCTAAGTAGATACAGCTATACTCTGCTAAGTAATGCAGCATGACCCTCTAAGTAGATACAGCTATGAACTCGCTAAGTAGATGCAGCTATGAACCTCCCTAAGTAGATACAGCAGAACTGTAAGTGGGTTTGCAGCTAGCCCTTGAAGAGAAAAACCCTTGAGGGGGTTGCTAAAGTAGATGCACTTGACCTTTGCTAAGTAGATACAAGCTATGACTCTACTAAGTAGATGCAGCTAATGACCCTGCTAAGTAGATACAGCTATGACTCTGCTAAGTAGATGCAGCTAAACCCTGCTAAGTATACAGCTATGACTCTGCTAAATAAAATGCGGCTTAAACCCTGCTAAGTAGATGCAGCTATGCCCCTTTGCTAAGTAGATACAGCTATGACTCTGCTAAGTAGATGCAGCTATGACCCTGCCTAAAGATCCCCAGCTATGACCCTGCTAAGTAGATCAGCTATGACTTGCTAAGTAAGATTACAGCTATGACCTGCTAAGTAGATACAGCTATGACCCTGCTAAGTAGAACAGCTATACTCTGCTAAGTAGATCGCTAGACCCTGCTAAGTAGATCAGCTATGACTCTGCTAATAATGCAGCATACCCTGCATTAGATACAATGACCCTGCAAGTAGATGCAGCTTGACCCTGCTAAGTAGATGCGCTATACCCTGCAAAGTAATACAGTATGACCCTGCTAAGTAGAGCAGCTATACCCTGCTAAAGAGCACTATGCCCCCTGCAAGTAGAGCAGCATGACCCTGCTAGTAGATGCAGCTATGACTCTGCAGTAGATGCAGCTATGACCCTGCTAAGTAGATGCAGCTATGACCCTGCTAATTTAATACAGCTATGACCCTGCTAAGTTAGATGCAGCTATGACCGCTAAGTAGATGCAGCTTAACCCTGCTAGTAAAGATGCGCTATAACCCTGCTAAGTAGATGCAGCTATAACCCTGCTAAGTAGATGCAGCTATGACCTGCTAAGTAGATGCAGTTTTACCCTGCTAAGTAGATGCAGCTATGACCCTGCTAAGTAGATGCAGCAAAACCCTGCCTAATAGATCAGCTATAACCCTGCTAAGTAGATGCATTTAAACCCCGTTTAAGTAGATGCAGCTAAAAACCCTGCAAAGTAGATGCAGCATTAAACCTGCTAAGTAGATGCAGCTATAACCCTGCTAAGTAGATGCAGCTATAACCCTGCTAAGTAGATGCAGCTATAACCCTGCTAAGTAGATGCAGCTATAACCCTGCTAAGTAGATGCAGCTATAACCCTGCTAAGTAGATGCAGCTATAACCCTGCTAAGTAGATGCAGCTATAACCCTGCTAAGTAGATGCA